GAGAGAGAACACACAATCTTTACTTTTATTCTTCATGTTTATATTCTACAAACTAGGTACCAGTACAATTTGAATTTATAAAAAAGTTAGACGATACAAGTTACTGCAAGGATTGGTTGCACATAGAACCTTATACAGGCTTCATAAAACCAGGTAAAATTTATCATTTATAATTACAATTTTTCTTACACTTTGTTAAATGTATCTCTCTATGTTAATATATTTTTATATTATTATGTATTTCCTTCTCTTTAAGGTGAAAAATGCGATATTAAACTAGAAGTGTATGTAGACAAAAAGACTGCATGTAAATTGAATTCCGGTGAAGACAAGTTGTATGATATATTAGTATTGCATCTTGAGGGAGGCAAAGATATTTTCATTACTATAACAGGTATATTACATGCACATAAGCAACGACAATATATAATAGAACTGAGGTTATTCATTTTTACATTTTTATATCATAAGTCATTAGGGTGAGTAAAAAAAGAATTTTTTTTCGCGACGCATCCTAAAATATCAAAGCTTACCTAAAAAAATAATTTTCCTCAAAATTTGAGCAAAATCGAACAAGTTTTAGAGGTCGCTACCAGCAATTTTCAATATTTTCGATTGAAAATCGGTTTTTTTTCAAATGTTTAAAATTGCATAACTTTTCGAGTTTTAATGATAAAGGCGTGAAATTTTTAGGGAATCTTTGTCCATTCATGTAGTTTATGAATATCGAGTTAGAAATTATCGGAAAAAAATTTTTTACGTTTTTTTTGTTTATGATAAAAAAATAATTATCTATAACAAATAGGCGCCAGCGATCTGGGACATGGTTTTGACTTTAAATTACATCTAGGTAATCCAAAAATACATTTCAATAATTAAATGTTTGAACGTCGGTGAATTTGTTGCTGAAAATTTGTTTAAACAACAAATTCAAAAAACCACGTTACCCGTAATGTAGAAATAACGCATGTCATAATCTTTATTTAGGTATCTATTGCATTCCAACTTTTGTTGTCAAATTCAAGTTGAGAGAATAATAAATTATCCAAATGCTACATATTCAATAATTTTTTGTTACAACATCAACTTCTTTTCTGCCTAATACAATAACACCATTCAATTTTACGAATTGCAATTGTTTTTTT